TGCCTGAGTTCCATTAGATTGTTCGAGATGAAGTTTTTCGATATTATGGTGAACGTCACAAATGAAGAAACCCATTTTTAGAAGAGTACTGACGTCTAGAGAGCGTAGAGCTTTGTTGACAAGTTGGTACGTAAAACATTGCTGGGTGTACCACCAAATGGGTTTGTCATCGACATTTCCGGGATGATGTTTACCATGTTTATCAATAACTTCAAAGGTTATATTATCGTCACCGTACTCTTCACCGAATTTATTGATAAGTTTCAACTGTGCATTATTTTCGACATAGTCCGGGTGTTTACAGGCATATTCGACTAAATCTTTCACTTCTTTCATTTTATCAAAATCGATTGTGAGAATAATTTCTTTGAAAAGTTGTGTATACATGAATGAGGGTTCGATTTCAGAACCGATTGGGACAGAATCTTCGTCACATTGTCGAGCAGATTGTCGAACTGCATCACAAATTGGAATAATTTCAGTGAAAATACCTTTTACTTTGGACCACTGTTTTGCCCATTCTTCATATTTTTCTTTTTTTTGACAGAATACATAAATTGAATAGAGTTGTGTCATATTATGAACGCGTGGCACAACAGTTTCACATAGTGCACCAGAAATAATAAGAAGTATTTTTTGGTTTTGAAGTTGTAGTATATACTCGACACATTCATCAGTTTCGCAGAATGTTTCAATCTTATTAACCGTACGTCGTAGCTGTTTGATTGAATGACCATAATCGTCTACTGATTCATCGAATTTTTCATCCAACCATACAAGAAGAAAATTTTGAACAAGTTCATCTAAAGGTACTACGATTCGACTACGATCTCGTTTTGGATTTTGATTTAAATCTAATTGTTGATTTAATGTAGTGGATGATGTTGGTAATAATGATGAACGTTCGTTGGGTAGATTGCCTATTGGCATTGGCGAGGATGCTCCACAACCCATATTGATTGATTGTATGTGACGTAAATATAGATAATAGATATTAAAGAATGTTAATCTGGAATCACAAATGAATGAATGAAAATGCTAATCAAAGAGAATGAAAGCTTCTTGGTTTATTTTATCATCTATCAATGTTCTTTTATTTTTGTGCTTTTTTTTCGACATTGAGATATGTTACCTAGCGTTAAGTTGAAAAAGACGAAGGAAGGAGGAGCATTGTTTTATATGATTGTAAATTTATTTTGTCTTATTTACACGGTTCCTTACCAATTAATCTATTATAATTTGCTCTTACGTTTTAATCCATTACAATTTTATATATTGAAGATAAGTGATTTTCTCGAGATTCGAACATGAAATCTAAAATTTTGTTTGATTATTTGAAATGCTTATGTTTACAAATTATACGATTACCATTGAATCAAAGTCATCCAAGTATAATAAAATTAGAACCTTTATATAAATTGTTTCAAAGAGAAATGGCGCAATTACATTGGAAATCAATTAAAATCAATTAGAATAAAAAAACTGATGAGTCGTATTTTTTACACTTCGACTTCATGATGAGAGAAATACTAAGTTCGAATGATTTTTATGCGATTAAAGTAGTTTACAACATATCTTGATGACTAATTTAGACATTGATCGCCGCAGAGTATGCTGAAAACCGGGTATGCCCTTCTGACTTACACATGTAAAACAAAAAAACAAAGCCACAAGAAATTAAATTATATATACCAATGTTGGATTAAGTTGAATAGTTTAATGAATTATAAGTGATTTCTACAAATGGTAATCAATTAAAAAAACCAATCGATTATAATAGATTCTAAGAATAATTTATTAAAATTTGTTATCTACCCAATAGTCTAAATAATTAATAAAAAATTGAATCGATCAGAATAGATTGGATTTTTCACGGATTATTTCAATTATATACTGAATAACAGATTTTAACAGATTATTCATAGAATCTATTATGATCGATTGGTTTTTTGATTGACATTTCAACTTATTGCCAAACGAATCGGTTTTAAATGATCAACATCTGTAGAAATCATTTATAATTGATTAAACTATTCAGTTTAATCCGACATTGCACATATAACCAATTCTTCTTGATTTTTCAGAGAATAATCAGTTTTATTCTAATTTATTGTGTGTTTTTCTTTTACATGAGATATTAATACTGATTAGATTTCTAATTGCTTACTTAGAGCTATTCGAAGGAAAACAAATTTCAATATATTATTCGCAATAAGTCGGATTATAATAGATTGTTTTCAAAATCTATGAATATTAATTAGGTTTCTAATCGATTGTTGGTGAGAAAATCGTTTATTATAGATTAATTGGAACACATAAGAAAATTGGTTAGATATATAATCGGCTATTTAGAGTTATTTGAAAAATAATGGATTTCGATAAATTTTTCGAGAATAGATTGATTAAAATAGACTGTGCCTGAAATCTATTAGCATTGTATTTTCTCTTCTAATGAATTATTTCATTTGTTCATCACATAAACAATTAAGATAAATGACCGATACAATGAGAATATTGAAAATTTTATTATTTACCCTTAGTATAAAAATTTTAGAAATAAGAAGTATAATGTGACTTTTCAAAGATTATGATAGTAAAGAAAAAACATTCGTTCGAATAGTAATGTTTTTTTTTGATTTCTTCGATGAAATACAATTGTTAACATGATCCTT